CCGGCCAACTTTGACCAACTCCGGCGAAACTCCGGCGAAGCTCAAAGATACTCTAAATCAAGTTCCTTAACAAGGTTTTAACATCATAAAACCTTAATCAATACACATAACCCTTAAAAGGTTATTTTCCGGTGAACCGGTCGGTTTGGCTTCTAAGTCCGTTCTTGGACTTAGAACTACTCCCCAACCCATTATTCCACACTATTGGCATGTAGAACAACCTCAAGGGTTCTCCATAAGATATGTATCTCATAGGGTAGGGGAAAAATAAAGGAAAAGTTAATACAAGGTCATTACCTTAATCTTTCTCACTTTTCCTAGCCTTTTTCTCCCTTTAATCTTCCTCCTTGGGACTTCCTTGCTTGGGCTCGAATTAGCTATGGAGTATGGAGTTGAAAAGCTTCCCCTCTCTCTCTTTTCCTTGTGATGGCCGAAATATGGTAGGGGGGATGGGTTGTGAGACTTGGTTTTGTCTCAAATGGCCAATGAGTGAGGTCAAAGGGCCCCTTTGCACCTCCTCCACTCATCCTCTTGTCAACCCAGCTCCCCCTTGTCCATTCTAGCACAAAAAAACGTGGGGTGGCCCCCACTCATGTGGGAGGTCATCCCCTTGTGTCCCAATGTGTACAATCGGTCCCGAAAGTTGTATTTTTCGGACTGTTTTAACTGTATTTTACTTTATCAGGTCAAATAAAATATATTATGTGTTTCTTAATCATTATGACCCTTATAATGAATATAAATTTCCCAACCTTAATTTATAGTCCCCGAAATTCATTTCGGGCTTTTATCCGTTAAATTACCAGTAACGGTATTTTGGCCTTTTTGATCAACCGGTCAACTCTATATCATCTCTTTGGACCAATAAATTATCCACCACTATATAAATATTATATTGACCAAGATGGATAAAATATACGGTCTCGGGAATATCGGGCGGCCCTCGCTCCCGGTGTGGGCCCCACGTGCGAATTTACTATTTACGCAAAATAATTAATAAAAAGTCATAACATCGTAAATTCGTCAACTATCCCATAAGGTTAAAATACAATATTTACTTAAAAGTAAATACATCTGGGGACGGTGCTACATTCAGTATCCGTTATTGTTTCCTTACGGAGAGGACGGTTATCGTGAGGATACATTGTTATCCACATCTGATGGTTCTGCTGTTGGCGGCAGGAAAAGAGTTAGTGTAAGGGAGTTTCTTGCATTCCGTCTGCAAGAACGTCATGATAGTCATTCATCTCTTCTCAAGACCAAGAGACTTTTTCAACAGTTCATTGTTGACGGCTATACTTTGGTTGAGTCTGCGAGACTAAAATTTGTGAGGACGCATCAGAAATAACTCCGTTGTGAAATGTATAAGGGTCTCAACGATGCTTTCTTGCGGGGTGAAAATGACTCCCGCACACAGGGGAGGAGAATTGTATTACCTCATTTTTTTTTTGGATGAAATGTAAGTATATATTAACACCCAAGAAAATAACAATTCAATGTTACAAGCAAAGTGCATATCCCAGTATATAGGATACCACAAAATCAAACATTCCCTCCTCCCAAATCAACATTTTGGACCCAAATACAGTAGGATCAAAAATAAAGTTCACACAAAGAATCAAGCTACTACAACAGAATATTAGGAGTTCCTAATCTAAAGTCCAAAGAAAGCTCGGAAAGGAGAAATGAACTTTGAGTCGAAACAAACCTCACCTTTTTTCTTAGTAACTCCCGGCATCCCCTCAAGACATTTGGCGGTGAAAGTAAGGCCTTTCCTATCCAAATCGTCTGTAAGTCGAAGGGGCGTATCCACTCTAATCACACTCGCGTGCACGAACTTAAATGGTTTCACAGCTAGCTTGAGTGTCTTACCGTTTATGACCGCACATTTGATGACAACGTCATTTAACTTCAAATCTTTTTCATGCATCACAACCCTTTCGGCATCTTCCAAACCGGCCTCGGAAACCTTATCAACAGTTTTGGATGGTGGGACAACATTGGGAGCGCGAGGCGTACCCCCGGCAGAAGCTGCAGAAGGTGCAGGAGCAGTTTGCTGCTGGAACCCGGGCGGGTTTTGGGAAGACCCGGGCGGGTTTTGGATCTGTGCAGTACATTTCCCCTGTGACCCGGTCGGGTAAAGAGGCAGCCCGGGCGGGTCAGTCCCCAGGGCAGTTTCTGCCCGAGCAGTAGCAGCATCAACCTCATCAATTTTTTTGCCTGCAACATCAAATTTTTCCTTTTCTATGTTTACCCCACCCCCACATTTTGATAACTTCTTACAAATAAATGAGTGATGCCCATATTCTTTGCAATGAAAGCAATAACTAGGAAAAGTTTCATACACCACACTTTGCTTGAATACCTTTTGGGAAGGTAGTCGTATAGGAAACGAGAGTGGTGGTGGCTTCGAGACGTCGACCTCTATCAACACTCTAGCATAGTCGTTGTTGATCCTTTCTTGGGTGATTTTATCCGTGGTTATAGGAACCCCAACCATGGAAGCCACCTCACTCATTGCCTCATCATTCCATAGTTGCATTGGTAAATCATGAAACTTAACCCAAATTGGTACTTTTAGAAATTCTTCATCTTCAAACGAAAAATTTTCTGAAAGTTCCTTGAGCATTAAGAGTTTCCCAAACACGGTGTACGGTCCCCCAAGAAGTACTTTTGATCTATCCTCTTCATTTTGAAACTTAAAAATTATCCAACCCTTTTTGTGGGACCTCACAAGACATTTAACACCCCAAGTAGCTTTAAGAGCATGAACCGCTTTGAGACCGGGGAATTTTCCGGTGAAGTGTCCAACTAGGCAATAGCCCCACATTTCAATCATGGAAGGTAAAATACGATCTCCAAAATCCAAAGTTTCACCTTTAGGAGGTATAAACCTTAATTTGATGCCATGCCTTGGGTCGCGATTGTCCTTAAACAAAGCATTCCAAGGTTCGGAAGTTGCTTTTTCAATCGTTTCCCCCCTTCATTTACTGCTGCAGCAGTAAACCCCCCCTTAGCATTTGGTTCATGTTCTGCCCGTGGTTCAACAGTCAGTTTCCCAGCAATTGGTAAGTCTGCTACACCCCCAGTAGCCTTAGCTACAACCTGCCCAGTTGGATTTTTAGCAGCAGTGCTTTTCACAGCAGTAACCGCAGGTACTGAAGTGGCTGCTACACACCCAGTAACCTTGGAAACCTGGCCAGAAGCTGGTGTTTTAGCAGCAGAGTGACCTGCAATTTTCTCTACATCAGCCGCAGGTAAGTCTGGTACAGCGAGTGCAGGGAACTCCTCTTCCAGGTTTTTCAGCAACTCAAAACCCGTTGCCTTAGACCGGGTAAGTCTGGGTGTAGCTTCCCCCTTCCCTGCCTTCTTTTTGTTCATCGATTACAGCTAATATCACTGCCAGCCGAGATCAGAAAACAGAGCCACCAAAATCTGGTAGAAGCAAGGTTAACCCGCTTTAAATCCTTCTAATTTATAAAAATCCCCAAATGTAAACCCAGGGAACTGGTACGAATACAAATTATCTAAGGTCGATGTACCACAAATCCGAGCTTGGAAAAATACTCAAACAAGTTTTTTCAAACATAAACCATGAACCAAACGAAGCTCATTTCAAAAAACATTTGAACAGTAGTTCCGTATTTGGACATCCGCGTTTGTTGCGTTCTTGACCGTAGACCATGGTTCCGATATCAAATCCAACAGCGAACATCAGATATTCAAACTAAAACATAGCAAGAACCGATCACAATTCAAATAGGCAAACCAACCGTGAACTCCATCGATGGAAAAGAGCTGGGCGAAGTTCCCAGGAGAGAGAAGCTCTAAACTTTTCCTATCCTCTTGTTGTATTACCTCATAATTTCACTGGAGGTGCACGATATATGATACAGAATTATCAGAATGCCATGGCCATATGTAGATGGGCAGGTTATCCAGATCTATTTATTACATTTACCTGTAACCCAAGGTGGCCAGAGATTGATCGTTTTCTCCATTCGAGAGGTTTGAGACCTGAAGATCGGCCTGATATTGTCACTCGAGTTTTCAAGATTAAGTTGGACGATTTGATTCAGGATATGAGGAAAAAAATGTTTCGGCGTTGTAAGGGGAGGTAGGGGAGCTAACTTTAATTAATTATTCACAATTCATAATTTAATAGAGAAATATTGACAATTTGTTTTTACATTTCAGTGGTCTACACAATAGAATTCCAGAAACGGGGATTGCCTCATGCCCATATTTTGTTGTGGCTATCTACGGAGCATAAGTTGCCGTCACCTGATGATATTGATAGGGTGATTTCTGCTGAGATTCCTGATGTTAACCGTGATCCGTTGTACTATGCTGTAGTGGGGGATTTTATGATGCATGGCCCCTGCGGGGGTGCAGTTAGGTCTGCGCCTTGCATGGTTGATGGAAGGTGCACCAAATACTTCCCTAAAAAAAGGTGTTCTGAGACATGAATTGATGACGACGGTTACCCGGTTTATAAACGTGTTCGTAATAATCATGTCATCCGCAAGAACAATGTGGATTTGGACAATAGGTTTGTTGTCCCCCACAATCGATATTTGTTGATGAAGTATGGTGCACATATGAATGTAGAGTGGTGTAACCAGTCAAGGTCGATAAAGTATTTGTTCAAGTACATTAACAAGGGGCGTGATCGAGTGACAGCTGCCTTTTACAAGACTGCGAATGGTGATACGCAGCACAATGCTATTGATGAGATTCAAATGTATTATGATTTTAGATACATTTCTCCCTGCGAAGCTACCTGGAGGGTCTATGGTTTTGAGATTCAATACAAAAACCCTCCTGTCGAGCGATTGAGCTTTCATTTGCCGAATGAGCAAACTGTAGTTTTTAATGATGACCAGCCACTAGACTTGGTTGTTAATACCACGTCTGTTAGGGATAGCATGTTCACTGCATGGATGGAGGCCAATAAAACATATCCCGAGGCCAGATCATTGACGTATTCTGAGTTCCCCCAAAAATTTGTTTGGAACAAAAAAAAGAGGGAATGGACTCCTAGAAAAAAGGCATTCGCTATTGGTAGAATTTATTATGTCCATCCTGGGAGTGGTGAATCTTATTATCTCAGGTGTCTGTTGAATCACATTCGTGGTGCAATGTGTCACGAAGATCTCCGAACTGTTGCTGGTGTAATATATGTTTCATTTCGTGAGGCGTGTTATGCCTTGGGGTTACTGGATGATGACAAGGAATTCATTGATGCTTTCAAGGAAGCAAGCTTTTTCTCTTCAGGCTTTTACATGAGAATTTTATTTGTTATTCTTTTGTGGACGGAGTCAATGTCTAGACCCGAATCTGTATGGCAACATTGCTGGAGGTACATGGCGGATGACATACAACACACACAGAGACGATTGTTGCAACATCCAGGTTAAATACTATATGGACGGATTGTTTTTCTTATTTTAATATACATATATATGTATATGTATATATGTGTGTGTGTGTGTATGCACTATTTATTTTCTCAAATTTTATCATTTATTTACTACATATATTCTATCTATTTTGCAGAATTGATTCTTTCTGATGACCAATTGGAGAAATTAGCTTTGGCTGAATTAGAGAAATTGTTGCGAGGTCGTGGAAAGAGTTTGCGAGATTACCCTCCGATGCCAACGGTTACGATGGATTCACTGCTTTCTTCCAATGACAGAATGATATACGAAGAGCTGAACTATGACCGGATCGCAATGACTGAGGAACATGCAACATTGGTCGGTTCCCTGACGGATGAGCAAATGTGTGTATATGAAACGATAATGCATTCCGTGGAAGAGGAGGTAGGAGGTGTTTTTTTTGTGTACGGGTATGGTGGATCTGGAAAAACATTTGTTTGGAAGACGCTTTCTGCCGCCCTTAGGTCTAAGGGTGAGATCGTCCGTAATGTCGCATCGAGTGGGATTGCTTCCCTGCTACTACCTGGTGGACGTACTGCACATTCTCGATTTGCGATTCCAATTAGTTTGAATGAAGACTCCACCTGAAATATTAAGCAAGGGAGTCCTCTTGCTAGACTTATTGTACGGTGCAAACTTGTTATTTTGGATGAGGCTCCAATGTTACACAGATTTTGTTTTGAGGCATTGGATCGCAGCATGAGGGATATTATACAATTTCATAAACAAAATAGCGTCAATGTGCCTTACGGTGGAAAAACTGTGGTATTCGGGGGTGACTTCCGGCAAGTGCTCCCTGTGATACCTAATGGGAGCAGACAAGATGTTGTTAATGCCACCATCAATTCCTCTTATTTGTGGTCTAATTGCACCGTTCTTCGTTTGACCAAAAACATGCGTCTGCAAAATTTGACAAGTGAGGATGAATCATACGATTTGAAGAAGTTCTCGGAGTGGATTGCGAGTATTGGTGATGGCGTCTTGGGTGAAGAAAATGATGGATTTGTGTCGATTGATATTCCAGAGGATCTATTGATTCACACAATCACACCAATGCTGATCCTATAGCTGCCATTGTGGAAAGCATCTTCCCCGAGTATGTAGCATCTGCAAATGATGTTAGTTGTTTGCGTGACCGTGCAATATTGGCCCCAACACTTGCCGTAGTTGAATCTGTTAATGATTATATGATGGGTCTCAACGTTGGCGAAGTATCCAGGACATATCTTAGTTCAGACAGCGTGTCGAAAGTAGATTCTACTACCGACCTAATGGCAGAACTGCACACGCCCGAGTTCCTAAACATTATTAAGTTGTCTGGTGTGCCGAATCACAAATTGACATTAAAGGTTGGGACCCCAGTCATGCTTCTCAGAAATATAGATCATTCAATGGGGTTGTGTAACGGCACTCGGCTGATTCTCACCAGGCTTTGCGATCATGTGCTTGAGGGGAAAATTTTGACTGGTCTAAGTTCTGGACAAAAAGTGTTGATTCCTAGATTGTCCTTAACTCCCTCAGATGTCAACTTGCCTTTCAGGTTTCAAAGGCGACAATACCCCATTATGATTTCATATGCAATGACTATAAATAAAAGTCAAGGTCAATCGTTGTCCAGGGTGGGGTTGTTGCTGAAGAAACCTGTTTTTACTCATGGACAGCTATATGTTGCGGTTTCAAGAGTGACTAACAGGCGTGGTTTGAAAATACTTATTTGCAATGAGAGTGGCATGACGACTAATTCCACTCAAAATGTTGTTTACAAAGAAGTTTTCAATAACCTCTGAAGTTGATCGAATAGCTTTGGTTTTAACACTCCGCTTGGGTCTTTTGCAGAATTGTTTTGGTTCAGATTGTTATTTAATTCCTTTGTGTAACCTTTCCTTAATCTTCAATTATGTGCTTGCAACGGTGCTATACTCCAAAGCATGGTTTTCGTTATTAAAAAAACCTTTGTGTTGATGGTGTTAAAAACAATTATCACAAAGGTAATATGGGATATAAATTCACCTACCGTGCAACGCACGAGTGAATTACTAGTTGCCTATAAAGGAAAGTCATATTCCGAATACTGGACAAGCTATTACTGACAACTAAATCTCCTGAGCACTTTCCATTTTCATAGTATTTTCTTGATTCTTGTTTGAGTGTTCTTGCGTAGCTTTCCCGGTTGATGGCAATGGGTCCAAAATAGGACACACTTTTACGAAAGCTACATAATAAATATCTAATGTACATAAAACTCATCAAAAGGTTTAGTTTCATTAACTTGATTAGGATATGTAAGCTAATTCAATGCTCGGTAACGATACATCATTCTTTTTTTTTTCAAATACTTCCACAATAGTTGTCTCATAGTTGAACACGACCATGCAAAGGGGTTAGGACATGAATATTACTAATAATTAAGAAGTGGACAAAAAAGGCACCTTCTTTTTAAATTTCCGAAAAAGAGATTAGTAAGATATAAAGAGACTACTATACCCTTACTAATACAATTTCCTTTGTAGAAAAATCCACCGATGCTGGAGTTTAGTGGGCTGGGTCTAGAAGAGATTAATAAGATACGGAGTACTACGTATCTCGTAGTCTTTTGGCCACCTGCTTTCATTAAAACATGCTTCTGCCATATATGCCTCCTTCCTCACCCATCATTGGCAGTCATGCAAGACAAGAGCATCATCAATCAGGAGCATGTGAGTTGCAGACATGGTGAATGAAAAATGAAGGGAAATTTACTAGGATATGACTAAAACTCAATGAGTTTCTCAATCTATGACCTAACTAGTTTTTATACTTTTATATGACTGAAAATCCAAAAAAAAAAATCTCGTTTTTATTGAAAGGTTGGATGACAAAAATACCCTTATTTAAAATATGTGCATTATGCACTAATTATGTCCAATTAAAATTATTGCACTTTGTATTGTCGTTACTGCACTACATTAATGCACGAATTTACTGCACAACCGATAATAATCACTGCACTTCCATCAAAATTAATTCTCTTCTCATTCACTTGAAGAATTTATTTTTAGTTTTTATTCTGTGTTTTTTAGATTTAATAATTTTATTATTTTATGCCTAATTAATTATAATGCATTTCATGAAGATATTATTGCCCTGTGTTACTGCAATATTGGTCATAATCACTGTACAACAAAATTTCTCAATGCATCCATTCACTGTCATGTCCAAAATGTCTATTATCATATATATTCATTGCTCATACTCAACACTTATTGAACCGCCGATGTTCAATGCCCATATTTAATGCCTATAAACCCTAGTTTTAGAAATTCCTAATTTTAAAAATTGAAAAGCAAAAAGGAGATTTGGGTCAAAGCAACTAGCGAATTATCCAAAGCAGTGGGCCTCCGCAATCAAAAAATTGATACAAACCAATGATGCAAGAGGCCCATCTTTACGTAACAACTCCAAATCCATCCTTCACGTTATTAACCTGCGCCGCACTCCCTCCTCCCTGCTAGGTTTCGTACACTCTCCAGCAGTAGATCTAGAAGACGATGGCAGGCGGCGGCACCCATGGATCGGAACGGCGGCAGGCGGCAGGGCATGGGGTGGCGTGCTCCTTGACGGCGATCATGCTCCTAGACGACTAGCCATGGGCGGCATGAACTTGGAGGGATATCGTGCTCCTGGATGGCGGGGCATGCGGCGGGGTGCTCCTGGAGGGCAATGAAGCGGCTGGATGCATTTGGCCGGCGATTGTTCCCCTGAAGAGTGGCTGACGGCGGACCATGGGGCGGCGGCGGCAGGGGGAGTGCAGCGGCAGGCGGATGGATTTTTGAAGGTGGGAGAATTGAGGCTAGGGTTGGAGAAAATAGTAGGAGTTTAGGGTTTTATAGATATACCCTAAAGGGTATATTTGTCCACCTATATTATTTAATTAATTAATTATTACGAATTTGATTAAATATTAGTATTATTTTGGTAAAAAAATTAGTTAAGTCATAGATTGAGAAAGATAAGAAGTTTTAGTAATATCCAGGGTAATTATCTCAAAAATGAATATCGTTCCACAATGATCAATTATTCAGTTACCCCGCGGCGCCACAATAACTATCACTCATAACTTATAGTGACCACCGTTAGTGTTGAAGCATTTGTCCCACACCGGAAAGCTATAAAAACAATTAAACACTATATAAGACTTTGGGCTACTCCTCCTATCAGGTTGACCTTTTAGGATGGAACCCCGGATCTTAACATGGTATCAAAGCCAATTCCGGTTGTGGGTTGACGGCTTATTTAGCACCCATGATTAAGGGTAGCTTGTTAAGGGTTTGTTTGGCCCGTTTATACACCCCGATATTGTCCAACCCGGTTCGGGCTGAGGGGACGTGTTGAAGCATTTGTCCCACACCGGAAAGCTATAAAAACAATTAAACACTATATAAGACTTTGGGCTACTCCTCCTATCAGGTTGACCTTTTAGGATGGAACCCCAGATCTTAACAGTTAGTAAACCGTTCGCCACAATCCACTTTAATGACCACTACTCAATTGATCACCTCTTTCTCAATTAGTACCGTTCCATTTACCGCCATTCACAGTGACATCGCCCAGTGATCAACATTCGCCCATTCAGTGACCAATGACCGCCCGTCCAATTACAGTTATTTAACCCGTCCGGTTACAATTACCTGACTCATCCAATTACAGTTACCCGACCTGCCCAGTTACAGTTACCCGACCCGCCCAGTTATAGTTACCCTACCCGCCCAGTTACAATTACATGACCCGTCCAGTTACATTTGCCCGACCCCTTCAGTTACCATTACCCGACCCATCCAGTTACATTTGCCCGACCCGTTCAGTTGTAATTACCTAACCCGTCCATTTTACCCAATTTGACCAGTCGACCATTTACAATGACCAGCTAAAAAATGAGTGCAGCCAACCATCACCTCAGCCATTACCGGCGACCATCGCTGCCCTCGACCACAGCTGTCATCCTCCACACGCCCTGCCCCACCATGCCCCCCCGAATTGCATCACCCCTGCCCCACCAGTCTACCCCAGCCCTGCCCCATGCCCAACCACTCTGCCCCTGCCCAATCACTCAACCCAGCCCCGCCCCTGCCTCACCCAACCCCCTGCCCCATCACCACCCATCAAATTCGGTGACTCCAGTCCAACCACCGCACCCACCATCTCCGGCGGCCACTGTGTCTCTGTCGTCACTTCCAACCATCCCCAACAAGCCCTGAGCAGCCCTCCTCCAATCCCCGACCAACCTAGCCATGTTCCAATTTTCCACCAGCCCAACCGGATACCCCACCGGCCACAACCCAACTGTCATCACCATAGCCAAACTTTTCCGATCTGGAAACCCAGCAAACAGGAACCCTAACCGACGGAAACATCCTCGGGCGGCCTCGGGGTGCTTAACACATAAACAATCTTCAAAGTAGTGAGCAGAAAATGCATCTTTTTCTGTCACCTTCGAAATTCCACACCTTCAAACTTTTCCAATTTTTGAAAATTGGTGTTGATGATATCGCGTTGAGTAGCGGCCATATTTTAAAAATAGTAAACTTTCAGATTGTTGGAGCTGGAGGATAAAAATAATATATTATAAGGGTGTATAAATATGGCTGGATCGAATATCACTTCTAGTCACGTATAAAATACGTTTTCCTAAAAGTTTACTATCTACCCTTATCACAGTAACCGGGTTACGAGATGGAACTTTTGTGATAAAAAACAAGTGTACAGTGTATTTTGGCTACTGACAGAATAACACTCAACAAGTGATATATGTAAAAAAGTGGTCTAAACACTTCAATATTAACACTGCAGATATTAGTATTAGTATTTAGTAAGACAAGAGAAGACTGAAAAATTAATTTTTCATGCGTCTAATTCAACATGATCCCTCTACTATTTACGGAGTATAATTCAAAGGCAACTAATCAAAGAGAGCAGTTTCAAACCAACCAAAATTAGGGGTGGGCATAAAAACCGCACCGAACCGGTACCGAACCGGCCCGTAATGGTACCGATCCGAATATCGGGTATATAAATGGTTCTATATAATTTTATCCCGAACCGAAACCGTACCGTTTCAAATGGGTACGGGACTGGTCCTAGATTTCGAGAACCGAAAAATACCGGACCGAACCGTTCAAAAATAATGTCTTTGAGATTTTTTTATATTTTTCCATACACATAATTATCTTTTATAGACCAACAACTTTATAGCCCAAGTATGTATCATAGGTGTGTGTTATATAAATATTACGGAGTATTATTTTTTCCTTTTAGATAATTAATTTATGTTATATTTGGTATATAATGAAAGAATGCCAAAGTTTTAAAATACATTCATGACTATTAATTTCTAGTAATGGTATATGACTTTTGTTGTATCATATTTGTGTAGTTTTATAACCTAATTAATATGGTTTGAATCACAACTCTAATGGTCAACTATGAACTATATTAGAATTAATATTCAACTTAGAACAAAGAAGAAGAACATTAAATGTTTGTATTCTGTTCAATAATTTAACGATATTCTTTTTATATGTTCTAGTGAATTTCATAAAGATGATATTATACGATAGTATATTGTCATTTTGCAATTTTTTTTACTAAATTTCTTTCACCATTTGAGTGTTTTTGAATTTAAATACAAAAATGTCAACCTCTTGGAGTATTTAGTATGCATTTTCTAGTATTTTTATCGAAATTTCACGTCAATTGGATCACGTGATGATATCTACTAATTACAAAATTTGTTCAAATGTTTGGGCATGTGTTTAGCATTGTACCGAACCGTTTTGTACCGTTCCGAAACGACATGGTACCGAATGATTCTATCCTTAGAACCGGACCGTACCGAACCGTTAGAAACCTCACGGATACATTACGGGTTTTGCTAATTTACCGGACCGTTCCGGACCGCGCCCACCCCTAACAACTTGAAAAGAGAAAGTAGTAGAGTTGGTTGCTCATCCGTGTTGCTTCATTCCATGTCTTGGGTTCGAATCCCCTGGACGATCCTATTCTTTTTCCATGTTTCTTTTTCATCCAAAAAAAAAAAAATAATCATTCATACAACGGTTGCATGTGAAGCCTACATAAAACGAAAGGGTGCGGCTCTTTCCCAAAGTACATGTATATTAAATAAAAGAATTTAATATGTCATTCTTTTATAAAAGAACTTCTTGTATGTAAAATATATACATACCAGCATAGTCGCATACACTGGCGGAGCCAGGATCTAGAGTCAGTGGTGTAATAATCCCAACTATTGGCGGTCCGCTTATAATAGTCCCAACTATCGATTATTTCAGAATAATCCCAACTTTAGAGTCCTTCCGCCAATAACAGTCCATGTAAATAAATTCATGGACTTTCTAAAGTAGATAAGAAGAGATATAGCAAGTAATCTCTATAAATAATCCCAACTTTTAATTTTTACGTTTAATTTCTATTTAAAAATCACTTTTATAGAAGGTAATATTTGGTCATGGACCATTATTGGCGGATGGTCCATATAGTTGGGATTATACAAAAATAATCAATAGTTGGGATTATTGTTAGCGGACTGGCAATAGTTGGGATTATTGTTTTCAATTTTTCCTAAGTAAAAATGTACACTTTTCAATTATTTTTAAGTTAGTGTTCCAACTTTTAAAATATATACAGTGACCTCTGATCCATTTTTTAAATGGTTGTGTCAATTTTTAATTTTTGGAAGATTATACATTTATACTCCGTATATAGTTTTTTAGAAAATTCTCTAAATAGGACTAAAACATAGATAAAATTTATAAATAGGAATATCAATTCAATGTTTTATTCCCAAATAGGACTCATTCGCTCCTATTTTGGAAGTTTTAATCATGTTATTATTTTGAAAGAACTAAATAAGCCCTATTTGGAGAATAAGACACAAGATTTCCTATTTGTTTTACTTTGTGTCTTATATTAAACAATTTCTATTTTTTTAGCGGTGTCAATTTTAATTTTTTGAAAAATTATATATACTTATATATGAAGAAGAAAAAGTTGAGTGGTGTCAATTGACACCACAACTCATAGTGTGGCTCCACCACTGGTCACGTCGCATATGCATGCAATGTGCATCTTTAAAAAATTAAACTTTACATACTAGTATTACGTAAATTTTGAAGATAGCACATTAGCACTTGCTTAATAAAATAATAATAATAATATTATTATGAGTCAACATTTACACGTGTACAAATGTTGTGCTCATAATAACAATAACTATTGCAATTAAAAGTTCTTTTAACAACATTTTGATAATACAAAACGTTATATATAAAATGTTTAAGGATCATGTAAAATAATATTTGAGCTGTATTTCTCAATAAATATCCAACATAGGGTGGATAGCAGTTTGTGAAATGCATTTGAGAGATTATAGTGCGGGTAGCTTGGACCCTCGAGGGTATGTTTGGGAGTTCGGAGGGAAGGGGAAAAAGAAAGGTTTTGAAGTATAATCATGAGAAGGGGAGAGGAGGGAAAGGGGAGGAAACACTCCTTGTCTGGGAGTACGTTACATATTTGAAAAGATAGTAATCGAGCTCTTGGGATGCTTCGTTTTCTCTCTCTAGGGTTGCCGCAAGGCAAGCCGCTAGTTTCGATCGTCCGCTATCGGCTTACGCCGAAGAGCGGGGCTGATTTCCAGCCATCTGTTTTTAATTTCGGCATAGGGGATTCAGAAGGGGAGGCGACAAAGGAGGTAGGTGAAGTTTCTGGTTCGGACCGTCAGTTTCGTGGTGTTTTGACGGAAGAACCGAGGAGACGTAGTAGTGCACAGAGCGACAAAGGTCTGATCAAGGGAGAATACAGATTGGCGGTTCGTCCCCCTCCTGAACCGCTGCCTTGGATTGATCGAGAAGTCGGGGTTTGGAAGATGATTTTTCAAGAGAAGGATCTATTGAAAAGTAGTTATGGTCACAAAGTAGTTTGAAATATTTGTTAGTTATTCTATTTTTTATGGTCTTATTTTCCTGTTATGTTTGTTTACGACGTTTCATTTTTTGTTGAAGACTTTAGTTTTAGGTTTACAATAATGATCGTCAATTTTGGTAGATATTATGTCATTAGAAGGATCTATATGTCTAGTGATTGTTGTGTCACACCCGCTTGGTGGTTACTGGTTAGCGATTCATATTGCTCTTTCAGGGGTGACCGTCTCAAAGTCTAGCCGTAGGGTTGATTATGATCGTTGGTTAGGGATTGTTTTTGTCAGGATTGGTCTTTTTGAGTTTGTTGTAACGATCCTTTCCCTAATGATTTTAATATAAGAGTTGGATTTGATGATAAAAAAAATTAAATTCACATCACATATTTGAATTTATATTCATTAAAGATTGAGCTAAAGTTATCATTTAATAAGTTACTTTTTAAAATTTCATCAATTTGAGAGAACTTGTAAATTGAGCATTTGGAGGATTTTAGAGAGTTACAAAAGTCCTTCATATTTTTTAAGCTCCCTAACATGAAAAGGAAGACCATAAGCCCTTGTCAATCTTTCCCTTCCCTCCAAAACCCAACCCCAAACTGGCCAAACATACCCTAAAGAAATTTCTTGGACAAGTCATTGTTTTTTAGTGCAATAATATCGATCAGATCACCTTTGTCAACCCTCCCCCCAATGCCCAACCCCCAACCCCCAAACATACCCCTAAAGAAAATTCTTGGATAAGTCCTTGTTTTTTGTTCAATAGTATAAGGAAAATTCTTAGTGTACACAAATTGTACACAAAACCCCTTAGTTGCCTGTCTATACAAGTAATTCGTTTAAAAAGGGAAAAAACTTGATGTCAAATTGCCTGTTTACACAAGTAATGTACACATTTTGTGTATACCAAGAATGGTCCATAATATAATGTCAATCAAATCGCTAGCTAGCTAATTCATGGTGCGTGAACGCGAATCGCAGTTTAAAGTATTTTGTAATTATTTAATCAGCCCAATCGATCTCGTAGTTCATATATATTTGTAATCAGAATGAAGGATTGAAGGATAATTAGTCTCTTACAACATAACATGTGTAGTTCGTGTAATATACGTACGTTGTATAGTATCTAAAATTTGTGGAAATCCATGAACCCCAGAGCAAAGCACATATATAGAGATGCATGGTAAATGAAAACGATGCGGGCTGAGGCGGTAATCATACGGTCAGTCATATCGAAGGCTAGACAAAACCGGCACCGGCATGTTTAGTCATGTCGTCTACCATATGAGGCGACCTGACTGTCAAACTCGCTGCTTTGGCATAAAAGCTTGGGGAAAGGGATCCCGTTGCCGTAAAAATGGCACCACCCAACATTTCGTCTCCCACACTTAACACATTCCCACTCCGGTCCCCCTCTTCATTCACATGTACTACCTGTTAAAGTTCAACCGTTATAGCAAAACATCGTCAAAATACGTGCAAGTGTAAGATATTTTTTATTTACTTTTTAAGACAACGAAAGTAAACTATTTTGAAATATTTATAAACTCATGTTCAATTTTTAAACTTAAGTTATTATAACATTATTAATCATTATTTTAGTAACATTTTTGGGAAAAAATCAACTATTTTTCGTATAAATGTCAGCTTAATAATCTCTTTCTATTTTATACATATTTTTCCTATAAATGTCAGCTTAGAGTATTTTTAATTGGAATGTGAGTTGCACTCCATAAAAATGGACACGTCATGATTGTGCATAGCCTATGAAGCTCGCATGGACACACATGCAATTAAAATAAAATTTTATCTACAACATCAACCATGATATGGAGAGCAACCGTGGAGAGCTTTTGTTAGGCTTATAAATTACTACGTACTAGGACTCAAGGAGTATGACTTGCGGCAATTTGTCAATTAGACTTTTGTTGATCTATCAATTAGAAAGAGGAATAAACATTGTACGCTCTTTTCCATTCCTGGCCCACTTAGAGCGACAAGCTGTATGCATATTTTCATTGGAGACAATTTTTTAGCCTAATGTGACGAGACATTGCATTTTGACAAATTCATAGCAACTAAAAAAGCTCTTAGTGGCTCTTAATTTGAGTTAATACATAAGTGGATTGCACCTCATAAAATATGGACACATCATCAATGTGCACCGTCAATGAAGCTCACGTGGACACACATCAAATCAAAATAAAAATTTATCTCCAACAACAACTAACCGTTGATTCATGTGCGATAACGGCAACCGGCCAATTAAGGCTTTTGCTGGTATACTTGATTTGCAATTACAGCAAAATATTCTAGGTGAGAACTCCGGTACCCATTTAAAAAATGGGGTACCGTACCTATCATTCACTTGATTGGTCCACATAGGTATATCAATTTTAATTTAGACTTAAATAATTCAACTGCAACATTCTGATTGGTCCATGTGGACAAAGGTACGGTACCTTTTGGGTACCATAGAATCTACCAATATTCTATGAGATAAATATTGTTTTGCTGAGTCAGCTTGTGGGAGATGCCTTATGAAAGTAGGAGTGATCTATGTTGCACGGATACGGATACGCCGATACGCGGATACGGGTACGGCGATACGACAATTTCAAAAATTATAGGATACGGCCATACGGGTACGGTGGTATATTTATAAATAATAAAAATATAGGATATAATTTGCAAATATATATAATTCAGGGGTTCATAAATAAAATAATAATAGTACAAAAAATTAACTATTATGATAAAATTTCAAATATTAGTCTAAAAAAACTAAAAAACAAAAGTACTAATATTTTGATTTAAATTCAAATAACATTTTTTTGTTCTCTATTTGCATTTACATCTATGTCTTGTTTCAATTAAAGCTCATCAAGCAATGAAATGACAAATTATAGTATTCCATTATTTTCCATACTCCCGAAATCATATTTATCAATGTTCTACATGTTGTGGTCACTTGGGCGGCTACTAAATTTTCGTCATGTCGTGTATCAAATGAGGGGTTATAGGGTCAGATACGCGTATTGGTTCACGGATACGGGTATCGGAAGTATCGGTATTTTTAAAATTAAGCCCGATACTTTTATTAAATTATGGATACGGACCCAATACGTACAGGACGCGTATCGGTGAGTATCGGATACGGATACGTATCGGTGCAACATAGGGAGTGATAGACACTGTCGATTTCTTTTAATTCCAAGTCAGGACCACAGCTACAATTCATATTTTCATTTATTGGAGACATTATCTTTTCCTCAATATGATGTGGCAATACATTGTAAGCAATTCTTGTTCCTATTCATACTATATATTCATATATTCTAATATTGGTCATCTAATTGGTGTTATATATTACTAATAAGGTTCATATAGTCCTAGACTTTTAATTGGTCTAATAATAAGTCGAACCTGTGTTTGAGTTCCCCAACTCTCTCATCTGCATCTATATGGGTATATTCTTATTTCTTATGAAATAACAACACAATATAATTGAAAGATATATTCCAGTTTATTCATCTATTATGGATTCAGAAATTCTTAAATCTTAATTTATCATATATGATTGTGTAATTAGATGATGGTGATCTTGGAGTTTGCTGAGTCATATTTAAAAATGGAAGTAGTACATGTGTGTTTACCTCTTTCACGCCATACGTTGCAGCATTGAATACATTTCCTTGGGATAAGATGGTTGGGTTAGCACTATGACCAATTGCATACATTTCCCAGCCTTCGTAGTAGTTGTTCACCACGTGGAATGTACCCAACCTGCATCTACACATGTAGAAGAGACGCAAATCACTCAATCAACCACCGAGCGCACGAGTCCAAAAAGATTTGTGATATTGTTTTTTCGGTCAATATAACCATTTTTGAACAATAATTTTGATTATTATATATTTTTATAATTTATAAATTTTATATTCTTATGACTCTTCAAAAAAAAACAAAATCTTATGAAATTATTTTGAAGATATATTTTTCATATTCAAATAATTTCGTATTAAAATGTCATTGATAAGAAGATGTGGGGGTATTTGTTTATCAATACTCCGTATAATATTGTATACAACCACATCAATAATACTGGGTAATTCATATGGGAAATGACAAAAGCTCTATGTAATGAGTTACGGAGCATTTAAAAACCAACCTGCAAATGTTACGTCATATATTGAATGTCACTTCTTTAATTTTTTGTTTGTATTACGGAGTATCAGTAATATTAATAAAAAGCTGATTCACTCCTGTTCTAGAAAGAGGAGAATGTTCTAGAAAGACAATTGCTTTTTTTTGGAAATGTAAGCGATTAAGCGAATGATTGACATATATGCATCATTTGGTATTATTTGGCATAAATACGGCAATATTATGCAAATATGACACTAATCACCGTTCTATCCTGTTATATAGGAACGTATTATTAGAGCATCTTCAATGGTACAATGTGCACGGTGCACACGTGGCATGAGAGATGACCACATAAATATTAGTAAATAAATTATTTCCCTCCTTATTTGAATGATTTTATACAGTTTTGGTAAGTTTTCTCCACAATGTCAAGGAGACCGTCTAATGTTGACATTGTTGTTGACATTCCAGGGAAAAACTTACCAAAATTGTATAAAATCATTCAAATAAGGAGAAAAATAAATTATTTGCTAATAATTATGTAGTTATCACTCATGCCACATGTGCACCGTGGACATTTTAGCATTGGAGATGCTCTTATACTTCATCCGTTCCTTTTTTATTGTAACAGTCAACATTTCACGTTTATCAACGCACAAGTTTGACCATTAATATCTTTCATTCCTTATTAGTAAAAAAATTCAAAAAATTCATATTTTGAAAAATTAGAATGAGAAGAATTTAACAATATTTTTTTAAAAATTTGATTTATAATACATTAATAAATAAAATATAGTCAAAGTAGAATATGTGAATAGTACAAAAAGTCTAATGTTGCAATTAAAAGAGAACGGAGATAGTACTACGTACTATTTATGAACTGTATAATAAGAAGTATTAAAAAATATTACTATTGATTTTTCAATTCCAAATATACGACTCACTATTTTCCAAAAATAAGTGATGACCTCTCTCTTCTCAAATAAACGTGTAATAGAAGTATATTTTTCCCTTTTAAATACAATTTCTCTCACCTCTTTTCCATCATTTTTCTCTCGTCCTAACACCTTTACCTTCGTCAAAGGCTCAAACAGTACTCCTATTTTGAAAACTACCAACATCATGTGCTTTCCTTGTTTACCATCTGTTCATTCATTTATTCTATTCAAATTCTTTTAGTCATGGTTTTCGGCTTATGAAGTTAATTAACCAATTTTTTCACTAAAGACGTAAATTTTGTTTTTGCGTGCTGATTTGTGTAATAAGCATAAAAAGTAAGATTGAAGTTACTTTTCTGACTATATTGGCTGAAGTTATTAGAGCATCTCCAGCGGTCAGCTAGACACCTTATAGCTTTGCTTGCCACCTCAGTTTTTTCTAGCTAATCCATTTTCCAGCAATGTGATGGTCCAATGGTTAGTTACAACCCTTGCCACTTGAATAGGCCCCACAAATCAATCAATATTGAAATATACATTTTGAATGAATTTTATTGTTAATATAATAAAAATAATATTTATTTTTAAATATTTTCAAATAGATCAAGTTGACAAGAAAACATAACCAAACTTCTGGCAGATTGATCAAGTTGGTCATCAACTATGACTTTGACCAAACATTAATCCAACGCCCAACATTAAGCAGACGAGGGTGAAAATGCATATTATTAAAATAAGTACAAAAGTATGTATTTTGTTAAGTAACAAAATAAGGAATACAAAATTTGCTCGAAAATATTCTATATGAAAAATATCAACTTTAACTTAAGTATTTCATGAAAAAATCATTGGGTTGCACTTCTTTAATTAACGGTAATATTGAAACCCTTTTAAACATTACCGTTGCTGACTTGCTCTTTAATTAGATTTGTATATTAATTATAATAAATAAATTAAATATATTTGGGAGTTACCATTTTAGTTCAATTTTCTCTCCTTTCTAGCATTTAGCTTGTTTTGGCTAATTAGCTTGTCCAAGCTAGAAGGTAATATACACTCCTATGGTAGGCTACTAGCTTGAGTATTTTAAAAAATTGCAAACAAGTCCTTGGGAGGAACCATTGGAGATGCTCTTATAGATGACCATCTTAGCCATTTTTACATATAATTTTTTCTTTATTTTAATAATAAAATATATTTTAAAAATAATTTTTCCTTAAATCAGCATAATCAGCCAATGCAGCCACTTCAGTCAGAATTTCATAAAATTCAGCAAAATCAGCCAAAACAGCCGATTTTCATGCTACCAATGGGCTTCTTGTCTCTTAAATCTTCTAGTTATGCTTGAAAGTTACTACGTGATTTTAATTTAGTCAAAATTCAGTCACTATAAAACAAAGATTAGTCGATATTAATTTAGTCTCTTAAATCTTCTGGTCATACTTGAATTTAGTCACTACTAATATCAGTTAATACGTTGCATACTTTATTATTTACAAAAATACAAGCTAAATTACAAAAAAATCATGCACATGCATTCGTCCTCAGGAGATGATAATAGAAATGAACAGAAATGCAAATATATTTCATCTTTCAGTTAATTACCAAATACACGTGTTTGAGGCTCCCATTTTTACATGGTGGTTTTCTTTAAATATTACTAATAAAAAAGTCACAAACAAAAATATTATTTAATAACTATTAGTAGGGGACTAGAAGGGGAATTAGCAAAACCAATTTCTAACGAATAAATCATAGTTGATCCCGTAGAAACATCTCTGTTCCCCAGCGTTCTTTCTAGGGTTTATCCCTAGCGTTTTTTTCCGGCGGCTTGGGCGCGTGGGGAGTGTGATCAGCGTTAGTGTTTGACGATTGTGGTGCCCCTGTTGCGACGATCACTCCTTCCTGAAGAGCTACAGAAGCAGAGGGTTCGGTGATCGAATTATGCTGGCCTTCCCTCAATGTAGGTTTTGTAACCTCCGTCAATTTTGTGCGGATCAGACGATGGCGAGCAAAGGAGTTCGAAGCGGAAACAGAGAGAAGGCGTTGCAGAGGAAAGAGCAGGAGTGGGGCGGCATCTCCTCACAGTCGATCGGAGGGAACCACGGCGAGGATGACGAGCGTTCCGCGGCTGATCCTGTTTGGGCAAAAGAAGATGAAGAGATGTTGATTCTCCCCCCTCCTGAACCGCCGCCATGGAGGCATTGTGCGACTAGGGTTTGGAAGACTATCTCTATTTTTGTTTTGGTTTATTTGTGTTTTACTTCGAATGTTATGTTGTTTTGTTTGTCACACACACTTATTTGTGTCAGACTCTTACATTAGGTAGGGGTGATGAGGTTTTTGCTCTGGCCATGTTAGGCTCATATAGACCCATTATAGGATCTGCGAATCATATTGCTCTGTTTAGGGTGATTGGTTCTCAGGTTGGTTCGAGAATCGGTGGCTGGAATTGTTCTCTTTATCTCTTTTGTCACTTGGTGAATGTTTTATTATCAATATAAGCCGCCTTTTTCCAAAAAATAATAAAAATAACTATTAGTAGCGTTGTGCACCGGTTCAAACTGGATCAAACCGGTTCAAAACGGAACCGGGTTTGCAAGCAAGTAGAAACTGAAAACCGAACTGCATATAATCTAGTTTTGACTTAGACAGAACCGGTTTAACTGGTTCAAAACTAAAGTGGACTGGAAGAAGTGAGAAGGACCAGTTTAGAAATTATTAATTTAATTTAATAAAAAAACTAAATTTAAAAAAAAAGTGGGGTATTTGTTAATAATAATATCACTATTACTATTAATATTTACTTATTTACTTTTATTAGAATTAGAGAGGAAAGATTGAAACAATTTAAGTGCAAAATAGTAAGTAATACTATCGTATTAACTAATTCTATTATCAAGAACATCAAAATAAATAGATGAATACCTTGGGAGTCTCTGAATTAGTTTTTCTCCGAAGCGGTTATAGACGAGTGTCACGTGCATATCCTTGTCTGCGGTGTATGTGTCAAGGTGACCCAGGAGTATGGTCTACAATTAATCAAGTAACTCCTCATTTTTAGCCCGTGACTATATTTTTAACTAACTCCTCATCAACACGTAATTTTTTTAATTTGCTTGCCGAATTATGAAATAAGAAAAAGTTTTATGACTGTAGATGATCATTTCAGCCAGTTTAATCACATGAGCTAAAATTTATTAAATTTCAATATAATTAATAATTAGTCAATGCAGTCTATTTAGAGCCCGTTTGATAGCACGAAAATCGGCCGTTTTGACCGATTCTGCTGAAATTTATAAAGTTCTGGCTGGAGTGACCGCATTGGCTGATTCTCTTGATTTAAGAAAAAATTATTTTTATAATATATTTTATTAATAAAATAAGGAAAAATCTGTATGTAAAAATAGCTATAATGGTCATTTGCAGTAAATTCAGCCAATACAGTAAGAAAAGTAACTTCAACCTTACTTTTTTCTGCCTAATACACAATTTAGCACGTGAAAGCAAAAATTACGTGTTTTGATGAAAAAGTTGGCTGATAAGCCGAAACATAGCGTTGTGTCATCATGAGTACCTCATTGTGGTTGCTGAAATGATTGTTGGAAATGGTAATGGCGTCGGATCCGGCGACAACATCAACAAGGCCATCTTTGCAAGCACTGAGCGTGTTGTGATCAATCCATATGTTCTTGGAGTGGGAGATGGAGATGGCATCGCCATCCGATAATTCCCTGACGCCGACATGGGACATGGAGCTCCGGATTTCAAAGCCTCCGACGGCTTGGCAGCCATAGATGGTGAGCCCGTGGACGATGATGTTCTGAACGTCCTGGATGGTGATGCAGCCGCCTCCGGTGAGCACTACGTTCACTCCGCGCCCGTCGATGGTCTTGTCGTTGGTGATGATCAGCTCCGCCTTCAAGTGGATGACCATGTTCCTCTTGAACATGATCCACAGGGGCTTGTCCTGGAGAACACCATGCCGAAGAGTGCCGGGCGGCGGGTTCACAATGTCGTCGTCGCGGTCGTCGGTGACATAGTATAAGTCGCCGTCTCTGCCGCCCGTCGTGGCCTTCCCGAATCCATACCCGCAATCGGCAAGGAGCTTCGGGTTCTGCTCCCAACTCACACTGCTGCACATCCAGCAGTCGTCGATGTGATTCCCTGTCCCGCAGGCACTATTCCCCAGCTTCCGCCTACCGCTCTCTCTCATTCTTCTGCACGTACATCTCTCACTTAAGAACAAACAATGTTTATTGCGAAAGCAAATACTAGTACTAATTTTACCCAATGTGATGCAAAATACAACCCTCTAATTATAAGATATCTTTACCATTCACTTCAATAATACAAATTATTCTTAATCTCTTATTTTATATATCAAAATTTTATGAAATTTAAATTATTTTTTGTAGGTTTTGTAACGATTTTAATTGAATTTCTGAATATGTAATTTTGTTTTCTAAAAATAATTTGAATGCAGACATGGATCCGTTTGCTTGATCGTCTGTCAAACATCGTAAACCGAAAAGTATCTTATAATACGGAACTGAGGGAGTATATTTTTATATAAAATGACTCTAAGTAAGACAAAAAATAACTAACAAAGCATAATACGACCACTACATTTTTTACCATCCAAAATAGGACTAATCAATTCATCCTACCAAAAATGCTCCTAAGGGTATTATTTCATAATAAATGTTATTATGGATAACAAAAACTTAAAAAATAGTAAAAACATCGTACAAAAATAATAATAATAAAAAATTATAAAAAAAATTATTTTTTTAAAAACATAACTATTAAAAATAGTAAAAAAATCATTAAAAACTTAAAATAATACGGAAACCTTTTCCACCGCCACCCAGAATCACCACCTTCCTCCGTTCCTTTTTAATTGCAACAGTCAACATTTCACGTTTGTCAATGCACAAGTTTGACCATTAATATCTTTTATTCCTTATTAGTAAAAAAAATTAAAAAATTCATATTTTGAAAATTTAGAATGAGAAGAATTTAACAATATTTTTAAAAAATTTAATTTATTATACATCAATTAATAAAATGTAGTCAAAGTAGAACATGTGAATAGTGCAAAAAGTCCAACGTTGCAACTAAAAGAGAACGGAGGTAGTAAAAATTTGCATTTTTTCCCAAAAATGCAAAGAAAATGGCATAATTAGTAGTTACTCTTAAAAAAAAAATGCCAAAATATCATTGAATCTGCCATTATTATGGCATTACTAGAATTGTTGGCCGATTTCTTATTTTGATTTTTTTAAAAAGATTAATAAAAAATAGTAAAAATCCATTATAAAAAAGGATAAATCCGAGTGGTGCAAATTCTGTCATTATTTATAAAAAAAATCTTTTTCTGAAAATGCCAAGAAAATGGAATTATTACTCATATAGAGAATGTGTATCCTCATCAGATAGGGGTTATTGTGCGTCAGACCCTATGATGGTCCCATATTCTCTCACGCATGGGTGCACTATTCCTCTAGACGTACAACGCATGCACTTTTATAAATAGCGTTTTTTAATTGATTATGAATATGCTATCACATTTTTATCAATTTCAATATATTGTTGACATATTTAGAGCAATTTGATCATAAATTGAATGCAATAGTTTTATTCTTACTTTTCATGGAACTTGCGCTTTTTATTTGAATACACCTATATTTATATAGTACGTGTGGTTCTAATACAAAATATATTTATCATGCAAACACTAAACCTTCGATCAGGAAGTAAAATAAAGTATTCCCTCCGCCTCAATACGAAATTATTGAGAATATGAAAATTATATCAAAATGTTCGTTTTTTAAAATAATTTCATAAAAGTATAAAAATTATAAATTATATACAAATATAATAATTAAAATCATCGTCCAAAGCTGACCGTCATTGATCTAGAAAAGTCAATATGACAAACCTTTTTGAGACGGAGGTAGTAATACAGTTACATAAAAAATAAACATGTGAGATGATGAATATCAAGATAAAATAAGAAAAGGAAAAAGTTAATGATGTTCACCATGGAATTGAATAATATTTTTGAAGAGGCAACTAAAGAGCAAGTAATACATAGCCGAAAGTGGCCATAATTAAGTGCTAAATTTAATGAGTACTACACATAATTAAGATCAGAACTCACTCAGTAACCATGGTTGTAATAGCGTGATGATCATCTGCTGTATGATTACTCGTTGCCGTCGCCTTATGTTCTGCCAACCTGCTAAGCAAACCAAAACCGCCTCACATTAGCTCCGACACATTGATCGGACATCAGGTAAACATGCTTAGTGAGGATCACTAATGAACATACACATAACTTTTTTTTCACTCCGGTTGATTTATGCTTGTAAGTTATTGCCAAAATCTGAAAATGCCAATTTTGAAGAATAGGGGTTTTGACATCAATTTAACTAAAAGAAGAGTACTAGAAAAATTAAAATAGAATTATTTTTTACTAATTTCCCAAAAAGTGAATTAAATGATTTTCATACCACCTCGATCTTTATTAGGATGTCTTTACTTGGATTGAAAATTACTGATCTGGTGTTTAAATCTGATGTGGGACTGAAATCAATCCAAGTAAAAACATCATTAGTGAAAGACACATCACTCTCCTGTGACCACCAATGGACAGTTATCAGCGCCGGGTAGTGACCCCGCCTGCCCGGAAATGACCAGTCATCCAGTTACTTGATGTCCAGTGACTTTCAGGTCATTCAGTGATCACTCCACTTGACCAAGTGACACATGCGCTGGTTACAGGGCCAAAACCTAGTTGCCGGCACATCTCCCTACCCGGAAATCCTAGCCGTCGCCAATGGTCAACCCACCTAGAAAACATAATCGCCTTTCATTCCCTCCCTTGAAGGAGTCGCGCCGCTACATTGAAGCCCTTGTTGTAAACACATCGTCGCCATAGCCTCAAACCCTAGATAGTCTCTTCAATGGATCTGCTCTCCATGAGGCAATAGTCACTTCAATCTCGTTAAAAGTGGAGCAGGAGATGAAGGGGGTAGAACGCCACCATTGAAAAGCACTATCTTTGTCAGTGAAAGAATTGGAAGTCGATCGGATTTTAGTATAAATGATTGGTCAAAAGTTGTAATCATTTTGACTAAGCTCGAAAAGTCAAAAACGCCTAACTGAAAAAAAGGAAGTTAATATATCATTATTTTTATCATGCTGGCAATCACGGCGGAGATCGGCAACAGACTTGCCGAAGGAGGAGGCAGTCGTGTTGGAAATCAGCAGAGAAGACGGCCGTGGCGGTGGTGTTAATTAAAAGAGAACTCGCCAGAGGATGCAATCATGCAATAGCGTTAAAGGGTGGTGGACGTGATGGTCTTGCCGAAATGGTGGCGAGAATACCTAAGCAGACTTGCCGAAGGTGTGCTTGAAAGTTGAAACCTTAAATTTTTTTACTACTATTGTAATTTAACTTCGTAGTGGGTAATAATGGTCTAGGATTTATTAAGCATAATTTTGTCAAGCTGCTCCCAATTCCTATCCTATCATATATGATCAAGACTCCAAAATGTTGAACTCGGGTTTTGTTTGATTTCAACTCAAATTAAATCACATATATTGATTTGATTACTTTAGACCTAGAATAGAATCACTGATTGTATCTGACAAATTAAAGTCTTATTTGTGGGCCGGGTAGAAGTGTAGAATTTTTGTTTTTGATCAAGACTCCGTGGTTCATGAATTCTCATTATTTAAAATTTCATGATACTAATTGCTCCTCCAGTATAGATGTGATCGGTGACGGAACCAGAAATGTATAGTAGGTTAGGGTGGCCGGAGTTTGTGAAAATTATATTGAGAGGTCAGGACTCAAAATTTCACTATATTTTTTTAACTAAGGTAAATATTATGTACAACAGCCATTTGTTTTCTTGGGGAGCTGAGGCTTCCACCAGCCTCTAGTGTCTCCCCTCCTGATGTGATTTATCTGATCCTCTAGCTAGGTCAAACAATCAAATATATGTAGTAGTATTTGTGACAGCACTTAATTGCCAAGTAAGGAGATAGATAGCAGACCTTATCTCATCGGAGCCTCCTTTACCATTCTGCTTTCCGGCGTAGGCATTGTCGGAGACGAGCAAGAGAAGCAGCAGAGACGCGAGAGAGACGGTGGTGAGCCGCTTCTGCGCAAACCCCATGGTTGTTTTCTCCATGGATTCCACAAAAAATTGAGATATATAGAGAAATAGTGAGGCGAAGGACAACTTCTATATCCCCAAACCAACGGTCTCCTCTACTTATAAAGGCAGTGGCTGTTGGAATGGGATAATATCGTCTTTATTTTTATTATGTGTCTATCTGTCTTATATACGTATACACTGTACTGTACGTATATTATTTTTGCTGGATCTAAATTGAATGATGTTATTGTATCACAAAGTACTAGACCTAAAATAATTAACATATTCGAGTACTTACCCTTTGATCTTTTGTTCATCTTCTAAGACTATTAGTATATACTTTCTTTAAATTTTCCACTTACTTTTTAAATTGTTGACTAGTGTTATAACATAACCCTAAATTTCCGTAAAATTGCACCCACTAGAACGATAATAATAATCGAATACTAGAAAAGTCTATAATATGTTTAAGTTTACACATTAGTAGTATAAAAGTATAAAAAACCATTGAGGTGACTTTATTAAAAGACTTTTAATTTACACATTTGTCATATACTATTCTTAAATAACTTAATAGATTAAATACCCCGTATAATAAAATATCATAGATCATTTGCAGCTTATCAATTATTATAAAAGAACATTATTACATATACTACGGAAGAGATTTGTGTTTAACAAATGTTTCGCCCTCTTCTGAATCCACTTTCATATGAGGAAGGGAGACATTCTTTTAATAATATTTTGGCTAAAGGGTCAAATAGACCCTCAAACTATGTTGTAAAAACCGGACCGGAGAGTGACCCGGCCACATGACTGGGTCACGGGTCAACCCGGACCCGGTGGGTCAACCCGGTCAACGCTGGAAAATCGGTCAATGATTATACGTCTATATAATAATAGTAAACATATAATTATATATATAATTATAATAAAAATTAGTTATTATTCATAATAATCAACTAACAATACTACTTATTAAGCATTTAATGCACTCTTATAATATTTCAATGAATATTTTGATCTTATACAAATATATAATGATATTTTTATTTTTATTGTACATCTATATTATAATTTATATAATTCTTAAATAAATATATAAATATATTACGTAGTTTTTCTTTTTAAGATATTGAAATTGCAATTTTATTGGTAAAAAATTGCATTAAAAATAAAAAAGAAATTACTTTTTTTGGTAAAAAACACCCAAAAAATGGGTTTTACCGGGTTTTTCGGGTTTCTTGGGTCCGGGTCTTGACCGGGTTTTCCCGGGTCAGCCGAGTTTTTCCGGTTTTTGACCATTTCCGGGTTTTGAAAAAACCGAACCGGTTTTTTGTTCGGGTCACCGGGTTCCGGGTCAACCCGGCCAGGTCGGGTCGATGGAATTTTTTTATGATTGTTTTTGAGAATCTTCTTCATTAATTCTAGTTTACCCATACCAAAAGTTTTCTGAAATGTACTGCGCTGGGTTTAACTACGCAGTTATCTTCAAAAATTCATTTGACTGCCTTCCCGATTGAATTTTTAGCTGAAATTTGGTATGAGTAAACTAGACTTAATGTAGATGTTCAAAACATTTCATCAAAAAATTCCATCGGGAACCGCCCAAATGGCGACGGACGGACAGAATCTCCTATATAAGAGGTGATTTTCACTTTTTAAGTTAGTTCGAGGACATATTTGACCCTTTAGCCTACCATTTTTCTTTAGTAGTACATGTTTTATTGTAGTTCGAGTAAGTATGGTTGGTTTATTTGGATATTTCGAGAGCTGTTAATAGATAGTGATTCATTTTCGATTGTTAATTCGTTATAGCCTTAAATTTGTCCGTTTGTGTCTAACGAGTCAGACAAATTTGTATAAGGTGACTAACTCTATGTCAATTTCTAAAACTAATGATCATATATATTTGTAATTGCTATCTAGAGGCTATCTTGCATGGTATCTCTATATTAACATAAGCAGTTTATCATTACAAGAATAAATTTGCATTGATAAATTAATAAAAGCCCTATACTTATTATATGCTATCGCTATCTCTATTTAATATTTTTGTTCACTATTTATGCGGTCAACTAAACACTTACCCTTTGACTCCGATGTTTATTAATCTTCTCTTTTTTTTTTTGTTTTTGCAATTTCACACCATTGTATTGTTTAATAATTGCAGCATTTTGAATTCTATGTTATTCACATTTTCACTTGATTATATTTCATTTATGAGATTTTTCTTAAAATATAACTAACTTAAACTTTATTTTCATAAAATAACTATTTTTACGTATTGATAAAAATGTGAGAAACAAAGTAATAAATTTGAAAAATAAGATGTCACTACTTGATTTTTATGTCAATGCCATATTTTTATGTCACTATCACATTTTCATGTCATTATTGTCGTCACATATCAATGTCACCATGAAACATAACATTATGACCGTAGGAAAATTTTCCTGATAACTTTTTCGTCGACTAGCTGTGGCATTTTCGGCGACGACTGCCGACAATTGTTGTTGGGTAGGCAATGGGAAAATATATTAAATAAACGAAGTTTAGTTATTTTAATACTTCCTCTGTGCCTTAAAATTTCGCCAACTTTTTTTGTTGGTTGTTCAACTTAAAAATTTGTGGTTCCAATTAGTTTTCCTCCCTGCACAAAATTCAACCACACAATTTTTTACTTTGTTAATCATGGTGTCGATCAAATTAGGCCAAGGTTGAGGGATGAAAGGAGTATAACTAACACATGACATAAAATACAGTACTGATGAACTATACTAACATAGACTATACTATCAACTTCAATACATGGCTTAAAATACTCCGTATGATAAAGTATATAGACTCGGATCCACACACGCTTAGCATATATCATTTATATTATTGTATGGTTAACATATGCATTTATATATCAGACTGTCATTTTACATAGTTGGGGGCCTATCAGGCCCTTATTCGCGGCTCTGACCGCTCTTTCTTTGTATGTACTCTCCTAAGTCTCCTTGGAGCCTCTTGTAAACCCTAATCAATATTTATACGTTCAATAAACTATTCACCATCTTTTTTTTTGACAGGAACTATTCACCATCTTATATATTCCCTCTCTTGGCTCAATTTCTCCTAAATAATATAATTTGGATACCCTATTATTCATCATTTGGTACGAGAAATCTGAGCAATTATCAAGTGAGAATCTCCGAATATATAAAAAAAAATCATCTTATTCACACAAAAAAAATCCAGTAAAACACAGAAGAAGAAAATATGAAAAAAATTAAGATCTCAGGAAAATGGAGAAGCTGGTCTGGAACTCTATTGATCGGAGAAAACAACCGGAATCTGGAACCAGTCCAATCATCAGAGGAGACGTCGTGCCTGGGAACCAGCCCCAGACCCGCAGACGCCCCTATGCACGATCTCTCCGTCGCGAACAAATTGTCCTGCTTCCACACATGGCAGGTTCCTAAACTAGCAAGCCTCAAGTTGTGACGCGCCAGTGGCAATGGTTAAGTGTGGGCTCAAGCGTCACTATCGACTATTGGGCCCGAAGATTTGCCTTGTAAATGGGCTAATAAGCTAATATGTTCGAATAGACGGGTCAGCCGAAATTTTGAAGGAGTGTCCGCACACAATATAAAGATTGATTAAATCAATGAGATAAGGGATCAAGTCCAAAGAGGGGAGAGAGTCTAACTGAAAGTCAAATCAGTTGGGATAGCGACGAGTTCGGCGGATAGCGGCAGGACGTGCGGAAGAAGTAAAATAGCTCATAAATACATTAGAGAGTAATCCATGTAAAGGGATCAATTGACGACCATATATACATTCATTCTTTCATTCAAGCTATTTCGCATTATTCAATTGCTATTTTATTCTTGATCAAGTCATTGTCGCATTATTCAATTACTTTTAGATTAGTTTATTTATAGCGTAAACAACTTGGCACCGTCTGTGGGAGATTCGTGCAAAGAAGGATCGGTCATGGTCGGAAACACAAATTCTCTGCTGATTGAGTTCCACGAGCAACTAGAGGCTGCCAAGGAAGAAATCCGGCATGAGATGGCTCAGCGGATCGCCTACATCCAACGAGCAAACGACGTGTTGTGCTCTCAAGTCCAGTCGGTGGCATTCATAGCCTCAACTCAAGATTCAACCGAAGGAGTACGTGACACCATGAAAGCAACGACGAGATTGGAATTGGGCTTTACCCCAGTTTCGACCGAACCATTTGCCAATACGACAGAGTCGTTATCTTTCACATTGGACATGTCACCGACCGGTGATCCTCAATCCACGTTCATCTCGCAAGTCATATATACCTTAATTACGAGTCCCTTTTCTGGAGACAACTCCTATTCCGAATACCCTGACGTGTTTCTTTCCAGATTCACTATGAAGTCGGCCTAGGACAACATGTCTGCATTTGATTACTCAGAGCATGCCAACCTCAACTACCATGTTGGCTCCGACGGAGCCATTTGTCCCTCAGTCAAGGTCGAGAGTGTTCATGGATCCAGGACCGTCGAATCAATCTGTTCCCATGCCAAATCCTCGACAAAATATATTCCAGAACCTCAAAGGCAATGAGTTCCGAAACGTGTCAACATCTCGGGTCAAAGGCAACAATTCCAGTGGGGCAATCACTGTGGTCGGCGGTGCAGTCACTGTGGTCGGTGGGGTCACTTTCGCTAGAGTCACTTTGCCCGGAGTCACTTTGCATTGTAGGGTTAATTGTGATGTTGGTCACATTTTTGGAATTTTAAAAAACAGATCACTTTTTTATCTTTTATCATATTTTTAGTAATATTGGAATAAAAAGATCCTAAAACTTTGTGAAAAAACGGTCACAGTACAGTTTCATACACACTATCCACCCCCAATGCGTGATTCCACCAGTTCATCAGGTGCCAGAATATCGCATTAAGAATTAAATGTGGCATTTCCGTATTTCCAAGATTAAACACTCTTTTTATTGAAATCACACTCAATTGGGACCACATGAGAAGAGTTCATATTATATACTCCCTCCGTCCCACTTTAAGGTTCACACACGATTTACGATGTTTGATTGACCATAAAGTTAACTGATCCCTGTCATTAATAGAATTATTTTTAGTAAATAAAATTTACATATTCATAAACTACATTAAACTCGCTACAAAACCTGCAAAAAATAATTAAAATTTCATAAACTTTAGATATAAAAAGTAAAAGATTAAGAACAATGCACGTTGACCGGAGAATAGTGTACGGGAACCTTTAAATGGGACGGAGGGAGTATAATATATGGGGATGCATTTAGTGCATTAAATTTGAGATCTAATGAGATTATTTTAAATCATAGCAAACTCAAACAGATCAAATTTTAATAATTGTAAAATAACATAGAATAGACATTTAAAGGACAAAATTGGATCTGACTTGAGAAGTTTAGATCAAATCAAACCAGACCAAACTTTAAAACTAGATCATCAAACAAGAAAATTCCAATTTGATTAAAAACATCCTGAAATTGCTAAGAGTGCTAAAAATGTTGAATGGTGCAGTAACAGTTTTGTAAATAACCAAACTTTTTCCACCATAGTGTAAATAAACATAAACGTGCATAAAAGGAGGTAACGATGAGAAGTTTTTTCCATTGTCACGTTAAACATTTTTTTATTGCATGAAATATTGAAATCGCAGCATAGAAATGAACGACTTGACTTGGGATATTTTATGTTGAAGTAATTTCAATTTCAGAAGAGATCGGAACAGATTGTATATTTTGGAACAAATCGGACCAAACAAAATTTTATATTATACTAGACCACACATGTCCAAATCATTACAAAAAATAATACACTTTATGACGAAAATTAGTATGACACTAAGATTTTTTCCACAATTTGTTTGATCAATAGTTACAGAATTCTCATTGGGAAATGCTTTATTATGACAGTTTTATCAAAGCGTGACCCTAGATTTGGGAGAGAATTATTTTCATGACAAAGTGACAATAATTAAAGAGGATATCTTTTTTCACTTAAATTTCCTTTTTTATGATAAAAGCATATTGTCATTAATTCTTTTATAGAACAGTGACAATATGATTTTGGTTTTTTATTTTACTCCAGGGGGTCTGGGGGAGGGGTTGGGGAACCTGGAGTAATCAAGGCTGAAACCCACTCCATTGAGTTTCACACCCTTATGTGCATAGCGGGTATCGAACTCGAGACCTCGCACTAGGCATGGTAACCTCACAACCAGGTGAGCTGGAATGCTTGGTATTTTGTCACCGGTGCTCCCTTTTCACCACGATAACGTAACTGCATGTGTCAGAGGTTTATTTGTTAGATTATTGGACTTATACTACATATAATATTCACGATATCTTATTTATTGGGTTAATTGTAACATATATTATATTTATCCCAAAAATTAGTGGTCCTATAGATATTAATTTAAGTGGGCTAATAAGTTATCTAATAAGGTATAGGGCCCAATTGTGTAGAGCATGGGCTGAACCTAATTAATGATGGGCTGATTAGGGTTAAGCATTCTCTACAAATAGAGGGGTTATGGTCCCCTAGTTGAACACGTCATTCCGTCTTTCTGCATCCCATCGCTAGAGAGATACTTCCCGAGGGTGTGTATCAACTAGAAGACGCAAACCCTAGCCTCCGTCTCCCGGATCTCCAAAGATCATCTCCTATGGAGTCAGGTATGCTTCCGCTCAGTTAATTCTCTAGATAATTCCAATATGAAGATTAAAGTATTATTGGATTTATTCCATCAATTGGTATCAGAGTCTCCTTCATATTGAATTATTTGGAGTCAGTATAATCTACCGATTCATTGAAATAAGGGTAATGCGATTTTGCGTTTGTGCAATTCGTTCCTGATATATTCACATATTGGATCGGTTGTTAATCTTTAAGCAAAACGATTGAATTTGTAGTGTTGCTTTTGTTGTGAAATTTGCCGATTAAACATAAATTAGGGTAATTCGTTCCCATGTATTCCGAGAATGAATCGGTGCTGATAGACTCATCGAAACCATTATATTTAATTTGGGTTTCATGATTCTTTTTTGTCGCAGTAGCTTGCGCTATTGTATACTTTCGTATATACTCGGTATTTGTTTATTTTTCATACTTCCGATTGATCACAATGAGATGCTCGTGATTATAATATGTAATCAATTTTGAGGGAGTGTCTCGATCAATTTATTCAATTGAAATCCCACTTCAATTTTACGTAGTTGATGTGAAGCAACTAGATAATAATGATTCTTGATATGGCAAATTTGAGTTTTTTGGTTTTGGACTTGTCGAATTTCACGATGAATCTTATTTTGGGATTGGGAAGGTGATTCAATTGGTAACTTTTGTAGGATTATCAAATTTGGTTTTTTGATTCACTTTCTTTTGGATTCGTGGGTTAGAAACAGAACAAATATAACATGCAATTAAAGGATTGTCTATTTTTTTCGATAAACATATACAGAGTAATGTTTATCACATTCCAATTTTTCGGTGATTCAATTTGGAAATTTCTATAGATTTGCTAATTAAATACATATATGTGATTATTGCTGGTTTAGATAATTAAATACTTATATGTAATTACGGCGAATATCTGTTCAATCAGAAATATATAATTAGATATTACGGAATTTATTATTTTGTTGGTTATTGTGTTTTGTGGGATGAAAAATATGTATTGTGTGTCACGGATGTGTAAACCCTATTTTCCGATCGCACAGTGATTGAGTATGTTTTTTTTTTACAAATTATCGTTGTACATAACACATTTGCATGTGATTCAGAAAAATTCGCCCAATTTTATACTTCAGTTTTTATTTTATTTAATATTAGTGATGGACAGTGTGCCCGGGGGTAGCTTATCCGAGGGTTTATTGCGGGGAATAACCTAGAGAGAAGTCAGAGCAAGCAAGTAAGAGAGAGAGAACCAAGTATATTAAATGAACTTGTTCTGGATCCCTTACAAGAGGAATAAAGGCTGTTATTTATAGCAGCCATAAATGCGATGAGAGTACACGTGTCAACAATCTAACGGCCGAGGGGTCACCTCAATCGGGGTGGCACCGGCATTCGCATGTGCACCACATTAAATGCGGTGGGTAGATGTGACGCCGCATTAATTGCGGTGGTTGCTTGTCTCCAAAGGGAATCTTCGATGATTGAGCCCATAGCCGAAGGCTCCCTTATGACCGAAGGCTCTGTGTAGCCGAAGGCTACTCTTATGCTGAGGGCTCCTATGGGCCGAGGGCTCCTATGAGCCGAAGGCTCCCGTTGTTTGCCATTTTCTCCCAGTAGTTTTGTATATAGAAAATCAGCTGTTTCTTGAAGTTTGGAGCCTTTAGTCATAGGGGCGAAGGCATCACCAGGCGCATCGTGGGCTCCCTTAGGCTGGGGCCGCAGTGCTCTGGGTCTCACACGCTTCTTGGGCCTGTTGGGCCTGTGCTAGAGTAGTCGGAGTCTGTGGGCCGGGGGTGCCTGAGCCATATACTCCATCAATTAGCATGTCTAATATTTGGGTTGGTTAATTGACACAACATGCTGCCAAAGTAGCCTCTCTTGTTGAAATTAATTAACTCATATATTAAGATGATTGTGTACTTTCTTATTTCATGCGGATAATAATCGGCCCAAAGGAAGGTTATTATTTGGCCGAAATTTAAGTACATTTGTGATAATAAAATTTGTGATAATTATGAGGTTTTCATGTGAATATTAAGCCGGTCCAAAGAAAAGCTTAATATTTGACATGATTTTATTATTACACCAAGAGTACCACTTGCAAGTCTAATTTATGTCCAAAGACAAGATTAGATGTTGCACTAGGTATCTTGTGATGCGGATTGCTAATATTTAAATTTAAAATTAATTATAAAGTTAATTTCAGTTTTTAGAGCATATAATTTATATTATTTTTGTTCTCTTCCAGTCAACAATTTTGCTGCTACAATATCTGCTAATATTAATAGCATCCCTGTGCTTAACGACACGAATTTTAAGGAATGGAAAGAGAACGTTATGATTGTTCTCGGTTGCATGGATCTAGGCCTTGCACTCCGGACTGAGAAACCCGTCGCTCTTAAGGATACATCTACCCTTGATGAAAAGAGGGAGATGAAGAGGTGGGAACGCTCAATCCGCATGAGTCTAATGATTATGAAACGTGCAATTCCAGAATCATTCAGGGGCACTATATCTGATGAGGATGATGCCAAATCGTTCCTTGCCGAAATTGAAAAGCGTTTTGTTAAAAACGAAAAGGCGGAAACTAGTACTCTTTTGAACACTGTTGTTTCCATGAAGTACAAAGGCAAAGGGAACATAACTACATAAGAGAGTACATCTTGGAAATGTCTCATATTGCTTCAAAACTAAGTGCACTTAAGCTCATTTTACCTGAGGAATTGCTTGTGTATTTAGTTTTGATCTCTCTTCCTTCTCAATTTAATCAATTTAAAGTCAGTTACAACTGCGTTAAGGAGAAATTGTCTCTCAATGAGCTCATTTCTCATTGTGTTCAAGAGGAAGAGAGAATAAAGCAAGATAAGACTGAAAGTGCTCATTTGACATCTACCTCTAAGTGCAGCAAGAAACAAAAATTTAAGGAAGCTGTAAATTCAGGGTCTCAAAGAAAGCATCATAAGGAAACTAAGGAAGAAACTAAGGAATCTGGACGCTTCTTTTGAGAAGGGACTAATCACAACAAAAAGAATTGCACTAGGTACCACGCCTGGCGTGCGAAAAAGGGTATGTCTCTTGCTCTTGTTTGTTCTGAGGTTAATTTAATTTCGGTACCCAGGGACACTTGGTGGGTAG